TATATATAGTATGTAAAACTAAAAACTTTAAAGGGAACATCAGTAGTCTTTGTGACGGGTTCAGACTTGTCAAACAAGTCTGATCTGTACCAGTTCACGTCCAAGGGCACTCATTATCACATTAGCTGACATAAAGTTGCCACTCATCTCCAAGTCCTCTAAGCTCAAACGTCTGTCAYGAGAAATTTTTCCTGTCAACCTAAACGACCGTGTTGAAGGTTAAACTGACAGCAGCGGGTCGGGATGATGCTCACAGACAGCCCCACTTCCATTACAGTCTTAATCGATTACAGCAGAGAAGATAATGCCAACTAGAGGCTCRCAGGTGGGGCACTTAACAAAACTCTCCCTATCAAAGCAACGGGGAGGGGGAAAGGACGTGGAGGGGGCAGGAATCTGACTCATGACTGATGGCCTGTCGATCGCTTCAGAGRCATGCTCAGATTTATGACAGGTTTCAGCCTGAGGCGCTTGGCCACCGAAGCTATGTGCTCGTTGATCAATTTGTTATCTAACACCCCCCCATCCAACTAATGGATGGGGCACAGCTGTTGTGGGAGTCAATGAGGGCACCGCGTGAAGAATCCTGATGCCTTCTGCCAACACACTGCTGTTTTTCCACAGTGATGGGGAGACGCGTCACCTCTGAGACAAACTGTCAGCTGTAAAAGGATGGTCTGGTGATTTCTGAGGGGATGTTCTGTCAAATAGTTAACAATAGTTAGTTCTTTATCAGCTGTGACTCAGAACACAGTGTGGAGAAAAGGGCAGAGGTCTTTCTCTAAGCTGGGCTAAACGCTAACCAGGGTCACTTTTATATGTAGCTTCTTAGGACTGGAAAACTAGATCTACTGATGCTGCTAAATATGTCATCATCTGGTCAGCCCAAAACTTTACTCAACGCCCAGTAAACTCAATGAGGTCAGCTTTAAACTCTGTTATATTTAGCTTGCAATGTTCATCTTTTAATGGGATTTCCTGTACGCTCTAAGYGGTTAAAAAATAAACCAGACTTAAGAAAAAAAAGAAATATTAGAATTAGAACATGGCGGCACAATGGCTCAGTTGTTAGCACTGATGCCCCACAGCAAGAAGGTCCTGGGTTTGATCCCCAGTTCGGATCTGGGGTCTTTCTGTGCAGAGTTTGCATGTGCTCTTAGTGATCGCGTGGGTTTTCTCTGGGTACTCCGGTTTCCACCACCCCCCAAAAACATGTACAACAGGTTGCCTTTGGGTCCAGGCCTCCCTTGAGAAAGAGATCTGAAATCTCAACGGGACTTGCCTGGTTAAATAATGG